GTCCTTGGATCTCTCAGCTTATTAATGATTTAAAAAGGATACGAGGAATGGAAAGGAGGAAGGGTTTGGTGAGGGCACTTTGCTTTTAGAGAAAGCTATTGGCACACTATGAGAACCTCCTTTCTTCCTGGGCTGATGAGGGGGACTCCAAACCTAGTGAGAGGGAGCTTCAGGAAGGCCACTCTGAGAGCTTGCTTTCTGCTTTCTGCCATTGGGTCGATAGAATACAGGTGCCTGACTCAGCCTGCGAAGCCTAAAGCAGCTGTGGTAGTAGGATAGAGGTGCCTCAGGGCAACAACTTCCCCTCTGTATAATTGATTGTCAGGGCCAGGGATGTGTGAGTGTTATTTCAGGACCACAGTGTGTCTCCTATGTTAGCAAAAGTGCCAGAGGACTATAGATTGATGGGCTGGAGGTTTGGGTTCTGCCCAGGACATCTTCTGCCAGAGGATGAGGGAGAGTGTGATGGGTGAATTGCCCAAGAAACAGGAGCTGAGAAGGTGATTGGGTGTAGGTAGCTTGAGAAACACCTGCATCTTAGCAATGGCAGTGAGGGATCCTGAAGAGATGGGGAAGCTCCAAAGAGCCTGCATGAGTGTCAACAAAGAAGAATCAGCTTGAGGGTCTGCCAGCAGGCTCAGAGTATGAAGCTGCTGACATTGGTGCCAATCTAAGGACACTCTTTCCATCCTTTACCCACTCCTTGCTCTGCCCTTACCCTGGATACTCAGAAGCCACCTGGCAAGGGGAAGGGAAAGGAGCAGCTCTAGGTAGAGAAACAGAGAGGAAGTTGCACATACCACCTTTTCTACTGCTGCCTATCAGCCTGAAGCAGGCCTGAGCAATGAAAGGGGAGAAGATTTGATATTCAAACATAGTAGAGTGTTTTGGTTAATATATTGGACTGGGCATTCTAAGCTTGAATTGAGACTGTGTTCATGATTTCAAGTAAAAGTAGGACTGTTTGATACATAAAAATGAGTAGAAAAGCTTTGTTGCAACTTTCATCTAGGGGCAGTGGAGTGTTATTATCACTGAATACAAATTAAAGAGCAGTGGAAGGAAAATGAGAGGTGTATGATTAAATTATTAGTTGTGCTTGTCTGCTGTATTGGTTTCATTATTGTTGTTGGTGCTATGTTAGAAAGGCTACTTTCAAATCCAGTGTTGTACACCTAGAGACTTGATTTTTGTTTGATGTTGCCCTGCATTTTCTGACTTACACCAAATACTCCTATACTACAAGTCAACTAAGTTATTTAGGAGGTCATTTTGTAACACATTTCTCACAGTCCTTATGAGAAAATTTATTTGCTTAAAATTAATATCCCATCAGTACTTTACTGAGAATTTTTATATCCAAGATGAAAATTTGGTAGCAATTGCTATGATAACCTTCCAGGGTGAAATAATTCAGCATGTACCATGATGTAGAAGTTTGGACTTGATCTTCCATTTGTCCATGAATAGGAACAAATAATCATCTTTTAGTGTTCTTTTAAATTGATGTATAATGTACATAATGAAAGTGCACAAGAGTTTAGTTTGATGAATACAAAGTGAATACACCCCAGAAAAGAGCCCAAATAGCCAAAATAACCTTAAGGAAAAGGAACAAATCTGGACGCATCACTTTACTGGACTTTAAGCTATACTGTAATGCTATAGTCACCAAAACAGCATGGCATTGGCACAAAAGAGAGACATAGACCAGCAGAACACAACAGAGAACCCAGATATAAAACCATCCACATGTTGGCATCTGATTTTTGACAAAGTAGACAGCAATGTACACTGGGGAAAAGAATCCCTATTCAATAAATGGTGATGGGAAAATTGGATAGCCACATGTAGAAGATTGAAACAGGATCTAACCTCTCACTACTTACAAAAATTAATTCAAGATGGATAACAGTTTAAATCTAAGATATCAAACCATAAAAAGAAAATGTTGGAAAAACTCTTCTAGATATCAGCTTAGGCAAAGAATTTATGAAGAAGATCCCAAGGGCAATCACAGCAAAACAACAAAAATAAATAGATGGGACTTAATTAAATTAAAAAGCTTGTGTGTAGCCAAGGAAATAATCAAGAGAGCAAATAGACAATCTACAGAATGTGAGAAAATATCCACAGACTATGCATCCAATAAAAGGCTAATAACTAGAATTTACAAAGAATTCAAGAAAATCAGCAAGGAAAAAAATCAAACAACTCCATTAAAAAGTGTGCAAGAGACATAAACAGAAGCATTTCAAAAGAAGATAGACTAATGGCCAATAAACATATGAAAAAATACTCAACATCACTAATCATCAGAGAAATGCAAATCAAAGCCACAATGAGATATCACTTAATCCAAGTGAGAATGGCTTTTATTACAACGTCCTAAAATGATAGATGCTGGCATGGGTGCAGATAGAAAGGAACACTTACACACTGTTGGTGGGACTGCAAACTAGTTCAACCTCTATGGAAAATAGAATGGAGATACCTCAAAGAACTAAAAGTAGACCTACTATTTGATCCAATAATCTCACTACTGGATATTTATTCAAAATAAAAAGTGATTTTATCAAAAGACACTTGCACTTGAATGTTTATTGCAGCACAATTCACAAAGATGCAAAGATGTGGAATCAACCCAAGTGCCCATCAATTCATGAGTGGATTAATAAAATGTGGTTTATGTACACCATGGAGTATATTCAGCCATAAAAAATGAATTAATCATTTTGCATCAATCTGGATGGAATTGGAGACTATCCTCCTAAGTGAAGTATCACAAGAATGGAAAAACAAACACCACATGTACTCACTATTAAATTGGAACTAATTGATCAGCACTCATGCACACAGATGGAAGTAAAACTCAACGGAAATCATTCAGGTGGGAGGGGGAGGAAGAGATGGGTGAAATCATATCTAATGAGTACAATGTACACTATCTGGGTGATGAGCACACTCATAACTTTGACATAAACAGTACAAAAGCAATCTATGTAACCAAAACATTTGTACCCCTGTAATATTCTGAAGGAAAAAAATCCCAAAGTGAATACACCCGTAAAACCAGCACACAGTCAAGAAATAGAATAAGACCAACACCTCAGTCATGGACTCCTCATATCAATAGTTTTGCTCGTTTTTAAGCTTTTAAAGAATGGAACCATATTTTCATGCTTGTACGATTCACTCATGTTGTATGTAGTTGTAGTTTGTTTATTTACAAATCTGTATAGTGTTCCATTGGACAAATATATAAACATTTTTAGTTAATTCTATTATTTATTAGTTGATAGACATTTGGATTACTTCTAGGTTTAGACTCTTACAAATCATGCCACCAAAAGCATTTTTATGAGTGTGTTTTGATGAATATATTGTGCCTTTTTGTTGATTTTATGCTTAGGAGTGGAATTACTGTATTATAATTATGACTATGGTGAGCTTTAGTAGATAATGCCAAACAGTGATTTACACAGTGGTGATAAAAATTACATTCATCAACTGGGTATGAGAAGTTACTCTACTTCCTTGCCAACACTTGATATATTTTTTTCAGTTTAGCTCTTCTGAAGTGTGCAAATTATTTTTTGAGAAAAATGTCCTAGCCATTGGCATGCCCCCAGTAAACTTCCATGTGGGGCTTAGGGTGTCTTTTTTCCTTTCATGAGAGCATCTCTCCAGCTTGACTGATTATTGAAGGTTCTATATTTAGCAAGGAACTCAGAATAGTTGTATTTGTGCTGCTCAATACTTATCAATAACTTTACTAAGTGGAAGAATGGGTAGAAAGTGCATTAGTCAATATTTCAAATGTAAGTACGGAAAACCCGATTCAAACTAGCTTAAGCAAAAAGGTAATTAATTGACTCCTGTAGCTGAACATGCCAGGCGTGGCTGGCTCCTGGGACCAAGCTTCACTTTCCATATCAAGACTGCTTTCCACTGGGCTGCTTCTCTTCTCAGGCAAGATTGCTCCCTGCCTGGAGCCCAGGATTCTGCCAATAGCTCCCAACTCCCAGTGGTAAAACCAAAACCAAAACCACACCACTCTTTCTGTCTTCCTGAAGCTTCCTAATGCAAGTCCTGTAATTGAGGGGGTTTTTTGGCTACAATTGCTCTGATCGTGCCTTCCTCAGCTCCATGTGGCTACCAGATCCCTCTGGGCCACAGCTCTTAGAGAAGCAATGAATTCTCTGAGGAAAATCGGGGTGCTGTTAACAGAAGAAGGGAAAATGGTTGGTGGCAGACAAAAGTAACAAAATGTCCACTACAAGTTGGACTACCTAAAAAGAATGCAGTCTATTTATTCCTATAAATGCTACAAGACTTACTTTCGGATCAAACAATACTGCTGGAAAGTTACATATATGGACTGCATCATTTTAGGCCCTGTGGAATTGCTTTTGTTGAACTGTGCTAGGATGTTCTGCTATCAGCCTGCATTGAAGGCAGTGTAATGAACGGCCCTGCAGAATTCCTTATGTTATTGTGAGATAGTATTGAGGATGCTATTCATTCTATTTCAGTCTTCATGGTACAGAATTTCATGGGAGAAATTTCTCCCTGGTCTTTGTACCAGGAAGAGGTGAACTGTTTCTGAACACCTTTTGTGATTTTATCTTATGGACACCGTGATTCTCAAAACTGATAAGGTTTCCTTCCTTGCTTTGCTGGAATGATAGAGTCAATTTTATGGCTTGTTTTAATCAAATATACTAGGCTTCACAGCATGGATTTTTTTAGTGCTCATCTCACGTCTTTATTTTTATCTTGTTTCTTTCACTATTATTTCCTAATTCTCATTCTCTCTCTCTCTCGCTCGCTCACTTTATATTTTATAAAGTTCCTGAAGTCTTTTCTGAAACAAAGTTGAGAAGTACATAGAATTTTGTGAAAATTTCATTTCATGCATTGAAAATATCACCGCAAAATAAATAAATCTGCTTGGCTTTAGCAAAAAGTTTATTAACAGGACTTATTTTGGGTTCCAGTTTTATATCAAGGAGTTGTAAAACACTACAGAATCAGAAGACTCGATGAAGGGGGCTTTTTTCTTACCCGGAGAAAAACCTTTTCAACACTGAATGAGTTTGTGAGCTACTACACCACGAGAAGCGATGGCTTGTGTGTCAAGCTGGAAAAACCGTGCTTAAAGGTGAAATGCTTTCAAACTGTGTTCATTTAACTTGAAATTAATTTTTCCCTTCAGATAGTTGAGTATCTGTCAGTTCAGAAAAAAAAAAAAATTGTCATTTGATTACCTAAGGCAGGCAGGGATAGGCAAACCATGACCTTTGAGCAAATACTGTTCCTGCTTGTTTTTGTGAATAAATTTTATTGAAACAGACACTCATTTACTAATTGTCTTTGGCTTCTTTCATGCCATAACAGCAAAGTTTAGTATTAATATTTGCAACAGAGACTGTGTGACAGATGGAAAACTAGACTATGAGCTCTAGGAGGGCAGGGGTCCTGTCCGTTTTGTTTGCAAAAGGCACCTAACAGGTGCTTTAAAAAGTTTATTTACTAAGTGAATGAGTAAATGAATGAATAAAGAATGAAATTAAAGATGAGTTTGGAAAAAGATTAAAAATGTAATTATGCAAAACTATATGATACATGTAATAAAGACTGTGGCCAGACAGTTGGGAAGGGTTTGTGGGCGAGGTGGAACTTCAACCAGGCCTTGAAATTGGGAGGACTCAGCTAGGCAAAGAGGCAAGAGAGAAGTCATTCCAGAGGTGTGTGAGGATGGCGTTAGGTGCGGGAAGGGACAGATTCACAACGAGCTACCTGACTTAGCATGATTTGGGAGAAGGTCAGCTTGAAGAGTTAGCAGTGCAGATTCTCCCACTATTGTTTCCTGTTTTGAAGTAATTAGAATATAATTTATAATAGTTAACAACGTTTCATTTAAAAAGTATCTAGACTATTATTTTCAGCAACAACAAAAAAGTTAAGTCTACCCATTTTTCTTACAAGTCTTCTCATTATTTTGTGAAACAGATACAGGTCCCAATGACTTTTGATTTGTCATATAAAACCGCGGACCAGTGGGAGATAGACCGCAACTCTATACAACTTCTGAAGCGATTGGGATCCGGTCAGTTTGGCGAAGTATGGGAAGGCCTATGGAACAACACTACTCCTGTAGCAGTCAAAACATTAAAACCAGGTATGAGAACATCAAAGGCTAAACAACATATTTGATTTTTATGAGCTCAGTTTGCCACTGTAAATGTCCAGAAGGTCATGGGATGGCCGATGCTATCAGCAAGCAGATGTGGTGATCATTCTCTCTAGCCCAGGTGACCACAGCCTATAGATAAGGCTTTAAAATATAAAGACAAGAGCGTGCTCTCTGGATCAGCTAAGTCTTAAAACATCTCCAATTCAAGATTCCAACAACATTTTTCTTCTCTAGAATTAGGATTCAGTCTTTCAGTGTCCTTTCCCCCTTTTTCCTTAGCCTTAGTTAAAAAATACTGGCTTAACTGAAAATATTTTAAAAAAAAAATCAGATGGAACCTTGGTGCTGTCCAGGAAAGAACTATTTTATTAAATTCTAATTGTGTATGGTTAATGGTAGAATGGTCCATCTAAAAGACCTCATATTTGAAAATGTAGGAACTATTTTTACTTTCATCTTCCTCTTCCCTATGGTGGCAAGTAAAAGTACACTAAAATCAATATTTATTCAGCCAGGCTTTATTCCCTCTATTTTAAAGGTGGAGTAAGGAAGAGATTAAGTAACATTTCAAAGATTTACCAATCATATGTGATTTCTGTTTTGTCATTTGTAAAATAGAAATAATAATAAGGCCAATCTAATAGAGTTATAATAAAGATTAAAATAGACCATTAGTGGAAATGCTTTGTATATGCCTGGTTCATAGTAAATGACCAGTTATTATTATTATTATTATTACAAAGTCAGGAAATGTCAGAGCTGATATTTGAGCCCCTATCTGTCACTACTGCATCATACTCATGGAAGTGACAGTTTATAAAAGTGCAACATTACTGTGGTAGCCTCACTGCTACTTCTAGTAACATAAGTAAGAATAATAACCACAGGCTAGATTGTAGTCCTCTGGGGATCTCCATTATTTACCTTGCCCAGAATCCTTAAAAGTTTGGGAAGCCTCCTTTGTGCAGAACTTGAGCACGTGGGTTTTGCTGGCTAGCAGTATAGTGTAACACCATGGTTTCAAACTGTGTGTCAAGGGGCATTGGGGCACCACAGTGAATTCACAGGCATGCTGTGGGATATTTAAAAATTTTGAAGTAAATATCTTGCATACTGCACAAATTGCTACCTTGAGGTAGTTTGCAGATTCAATGTTATATCACGTTACATTCCTTTTGCTGACATCATATCTTTGTGAAGCTGGGTTTTTGATTATTGTTGTAATAAAAATGTAAGATCCACACAAAAATCAATGTGGACCAGGAAATGAGGGTAGCAGTGTTCATTCTGATTCCAAGACTTTAGTTATGCATGTATCACTTTAGTAAGCAATCGTGGTTAAGAATGAAATAAAAAAGGTTTTTTTTCCCCTTTCAATTTATCTGTATTACTTTTTCAGATGGCTATTAAATTGTTAGGGCAAATAGTTATTAAGTTGGTTGGATCTAACCAAGGAACTGTTAGATATTCCTTTTGGGTTAGGGACATAGTGAAAAAAGTGACTGAGACACTAAGGTGCCATGAACTGAAAACGTAGGGACCCTCCAGTCTAATAGTTAAGAGCATCAAGTATTTTATAAGATAAACCTGAGATCAAACTTGGCTCTGCCCTCTGTGACTTTAGACAACTTATTAACCTTTCTGAATCTCCTCATCTGGAAATAGGAATTATAATAGTTCCTACTTTATAGGGTTTTATGAGCACAACCCCTATAAAGTATGCCAATGTACATAAAGTATACACAATGAATTCTTAATAAATGTTAGCTTTCATGGGGTTGCTGACAAATGTGTTCACTGAAGTGCAAATTCACTAGTCCAGGAATGAATTTTTTTTATTAACATATCTGCCAGACGAAACTAACAGAGAGGCACTTTTAAGTGGCAAGATGCCATATGAATACTCCAGGTGAGGACATGCTGTTCCAGCACCTGAGATTTTCACAATCACTGTGTGCATATGCTTTTAAATACCAATCTTATTGATAATTGAGACTAAACATTATTATCCAATCTGATCATTCTTTTCCAAAAAGAGGCAGCTAGCTATCCTTCCTAAAATTGCTTTCTAAGGAAGGTCTCTGGGGGAAGGGTCAAAAGAGAACAACAACAAAAAGAAAGTCAGATTTCTTATATTTTAAAAAAAGCCATGATAGTTTTCTCTCCAACAGGAATAATTATTATTGATTTACAGTGTAATAGCTGTAAACAGCTTTGGTGATTGGTTAAATGTCTTCACTTCACTGGGGCCATTAATCAATCTTAGCAGCTATTTATTGCTTAGCAGACTACCACGCAATAAAGATGAGCCTGAAATCAACTCCCACAGTGGCTTTGACAGTCAAAAATTAATATTTAATGTTGCACTACTAGCTGAGTGGAGATTGGGTTTCCTTTACTATGCAGCCAGTTAGCTGTGACTGGCATACCCAGGAAGGGGTGCTCTGAACAGCCTCCACCTGCAGAAGCTGTTCCTGAGGTACCATAATTTTGGTTCTTGTGGATAGTCTGATTTGGGATGATTTGAGTGTCCTGCACTCTATGAACCTGATAGCCACACAAAGCATTCACTATATATTATAATATATTGAAATCTACTTCAATGTATATATACAGCATATGTTGTATATATACATTGTCTGAATAATGATCATAATTGTTGCTATCACTGGAAGCTTCATGAATCAGATTTTTCTTTTTTAATGGTGGGCAGGACGTCCTCACTATATAGATATTTGAATATAGGCTAAACTAGTAACAGACAAAAACAAAGTTATTTATTATGGTTTAGGTGCCTCTTTTATTCTCAGCTCCATTTTCCTACTATGATTCCAAATTTTAATCCTATTTGATCATGTGGAATAAATCAATGGTAAAGATGGAATTAAGGAAGCTCAGAAACACATGATGGAAAGAGAATAAGCCATGTTCTCCTATTCTTCCTCTCTAAGTCCTTGTTCCTTCTCCTCCTCATCCTATGTAAAAAAAAAATCAGTCTGTTTGGTTTTCCCAAGAGTATGCATATAAATGATAATACAAATAATGGTCAACAGTCATTGGATGCAAGTGTGCCAGGCATTGCTATTATCCTAATAATGAGCTTTAATAATGTCAGTAAAGTCATTAGCCACATTTTCAGATGAAGGAACTGAGGTTCAGAGAGGCTTTATATCTTGCTCAAGATCACACAGGGAGCTAGAAGCAGATGTGTTGCTGCCCAAACAGGTTCGTTGCCCGTTGCCCAAGGGGAAGCCGATATGCTGAGTCAGCAGGGTTTATGGCAGATAGTTTATTCCACGTAATGCTATGCGGGGAGATGGGAGAAATTTCTCAAATCTGTCTCCCTGAGAATTTGGGAGACAGGGTTTTTAAAGACAGTTTGTCAGGCAAGGGATTAGGCAATTATGTTTGTTAATTGGGGCAAAATTATATGGGGGTAGAAATCATGTGTTGCTTCAGTCCCTGGAGTCACAATTCCAGTTGAGTCAGTTTTTTGGTATGGGCCGCTGGTCCCTTGGTTGGATCAACCAATCCACTGGAATGCAGGGCTTGGAAGATGTCTTAAAAACTACCTTTAGGTTTCAAAACAGTGATGTTATCTACAGAGAAAGTTAAGAATCTTTATGAGCACCAGCTGCATGGCTCCAGGGTGGCAATTATAGAGAAGCAAACAAGAAGACAGTGACTAATTATTATCGTTATTTTTAGTGAGGCCTGTGCCTTATTTTTACTAGGCCCTTATCATAATTCTTGCCTTGTACCCCTCTTTATTAATTTGTGCCCCTTTTTATTAATTTGTAAGGGCGGTTACAGATCTGGGATTTGTGCTGAATCCAGACTTTGATCAGACCTGGGTTCTGAATTTCTAGACTCTCGAAGAGTAGACTGCCTAAATGCTTTATGTGAAATGAGCTGCAGGTCACATGTAACTCTTCTAAACTTTATATTAATAAACAAGTAACAGTGTTACCTTAGAATGTCAAAGCTTTTCCATACCTGTGTTTGAACACCAGTTGTAAAGTATCTAACATGGAAAGGGCGATGAATGTAGTGTTCTTCTTGGGTATCACTGGAAATGATATTTGCAGTCTCCATAGTGAATACTAAGATGTGTAATGAAGTGTTCCTTCGATTACAGTAATGCCTCTGAAACATCATATCCTAAAAGAAATAACAGATTTTAAAATTACTGATGAATGTAAAACTCCAGGTATCCTTCCTCCTCTTAGGAGGTAACTACTTGACACCTTGCATGGTGAGTTGAGAGTTGAACTATTTAAATGCAATTTAATTGTAGATGAGTCTTCAAAATAGGCCCCCATTCTGCCTCATTGATTTGGTCAAGCTATTAAGGCTTTGACTGTGGAAACAGATAGTACAGAAGAAAATGTTGAATTTTCCAAGTTGAAAGTCTAATTGGCCTATGCCCTATGTTCCCTCAAAATGAAGGACAAAATATATGGCAGAATGTCATTGTTTTAGGATTTACACCCCCCCCCCGCCACCCCCTCCAGCTCTTCCCATGGTGAGAACCACGGACAGGGTAGCTATCAGTATTCTCTGGATGGCAGAACAAAAAGCTCTGGCTGCAGTAATTAAACATTCAGCATCCTCCAGTATTCATGTTAGTAGAATGTCTTCTATTTGTGTTAAGATGCCTGCCTTGTTTTTATCAATTAGACTGTCAGTCTCTCCTCTTTCTTTCATTTTTCATATAGACCTGAATCAACCTTTCTTCACCTCCAGGTCGTAACACGTAAACTGCACACCCCTGTTGCACCAACACATCCAGTTATTAGGCTGCCCCGGCTGAACTGATTCTCTTCTTTGATAAGTCTGAAGATTTGTGCTACTGCTGTTCTGACGTTACTGAGAGGCAGGGGAGGCAATCTTGGTGATTCCCACCAGACTGGTGTGAGGATAGGAATGCCTCAATAACACAAAGTGATTTCCCCCTCTTCTTGTTTCAGGTTCAATGAATCCAAATGACTTCCTGAGGGAGGCACAGATGATGAAGGGCCTAAGACATCCCAAGCTTATCCAGCTGTATGCTGTCTGTACTCTAGAAGATCCAATTTATATTATTACAGAGTTGATGAGACACGGAAGTCTGCAAGAATATCTCCAAAGTAAGCTAAAGACAATAAAAGGGGGAGAAAAGAGGAATTTAGTTTAGCTGGTCCTATAAACATCAATTTAGTAAGCCTTCTGTAACCCAAAGAATATTTACTATGTGTATATCTGTGAGAACAAATGTCTTAACATTGAATGGCTCAACTACTATTTAATAGGATGTACACTGTGTACTCAAAGGGAGGAAAATGTTTATGTAGTGGAAGAGCAAATTGTTCACAACAGACATATTAGAGTACTTAAATGTAATATGGGAAATTAAAGAATGGATGTTTTTCATGATGCTTTATTTCCTACACTAATTGAACATTTTCAGTCATGGACAAATATTTTCTATGGTGTAGAATTTGGGGACATGGAATACTTTTGGGAAAGGAAGAGAGATGTATCCTATCTTTTCCTTCTTTGCCAGTTTTGATAACATTGTACTTGTTGGTATTTAAAATACTTCCACTTCCAGGCAACATTGGAATTTTCAGACTAAAAAGCAGAAATATACTATTGCTTTATTTCTACATGTGTTTCCTATAGTCATAGAACACTGAAGGGCATTGTGAAATTTTGATGTTTATTACAAATGAATAATTTAACAAATAACAACACAGTATAATAAGCATTAAAATGAGATGCTCAAAGAAGTTGAGATCAAGTACTGAGAGAATAATTCATGCTTTAAAAATAGACTTTTTTTCTATAATTTCTCAAAATGTCAAGGTAGGATTAATAGGATGTATAGAGGTAAAGGGAGGTGAGAATGATGGAACAAAGATTTCAGAAAGAAAAGAGTATTCTCTGATTTTAGGGTGACTTGTGAAGCCAGTAATATTAAATTACAAACAACATAAGAAGAGCAAAGAACATTCTGTTAAAGACAAAAATATGCATAGCTCCCTTGCACAAAGATATCAAATTTAATAGTATCAGCATGTGTTACCCACCATAGAAAGACTAACTTTGGCTACTGAGCCCTTCTGTTTTCTTTCCATGACAAAGTGCAAATGTGACCTTGCATAATATCTAATAAAAAAGCTTTATAAAGTGGTCACTTATAGTATACACATTATTAAATCTAATAGACAATGCCCATTCTTCAGACCTATCAGCATCATTTAACTCAATGGACATTCTATCCTCCTGGAAACACTTCCTTCATTTGGCTTCTAGGACACTTCACTCAATAGCATTTCCTCCTTCCTTTCTTGCTGTTTCTTTTCAATCTATGTTATTTCTCTTATCTCCCAGACTTCTCAATATCTTGGAATTCTCCAGAACAATTTGTAACATCATCAGTTCTTTTGTTAATCTCATCCAATCTCATTGTTAAATTGTTTGTGTTTTGAGTTTTCTCTATTTTTTTTTTTTTTTTTTTTTGAGTTTTATATCTCCTTTTGTTTTTTTATTTTTTCCCTTTGGGGGCGTTTTTTTTCGGATTATTGTTTTTTTTGTTCTGGTGGCGGAACCAAAAGTTTTCCAAGGTTCGTTCGTTTTACCGGACGGCGGTTTTTTTTTTGCTCACGCTACGTGTGCAAAATAGATTGGCTGGTGGCTCAGCTCTTTGGATCACCCTGTCAGGAGAAGGGGATGAGAATAATCTCACTCTGGTTCTTAAGCTTCTGACCAGAAGTGACCGTTCCCTTTCCCTTTGGACAAATCGAGTCAAAGGATAGGGAAGTAGAATCCTCTGAAGTACTTGAATGTAGAAAAAAATTAAATCTTTGGGAACAGCCCTAATTTCTGCTACATATGTTTTATTAGTGATGCGGAAAATGTCGGACTCCGGGAAGCAGCCGCTTGCCGCCTCCCCGTAGCTCCGCATCTCCGTGGCCCAGCGCTGCTCCTGGCCAGTTGGAGGGCACGCTGCTGGGGCCGCCCCCGAGTGACGGAATGCCCCAGGCCCACGTGCCACTGCCGCTTCTGGTCATGCTGCTTGCGTGATCATGATTGCGTAATTTTTGAATCCCACTGTTTTTGATTGGATGTTAAAGCTTGTTGGTGATTGGATGTTAAAGCTTGATGTTGATTAGATGTTAAAGCTTGTAGTTGATTGGATGCTTCTTGAGCCCTACCAAGGGTATAAAAGCAGGAGCAGAAGGGCAGAAAGGGGAGAACAGCGGAAGACACAAAGAGAGCTGTAATACCAGGTGTGCTGAGTCTGCTGTACAAGAAAAAAGGCTGTTCTCTGACTCTTCGTGTGCCGCTTGGTTCTTTCCCCGGTCAAATCAATAAGAGCTGTAACAAAAGCTGTGTCGCTAGCTGTACACACTGCCGCAACATTAGAAATCTCAAAATGACATGCCCCGAACTGCTCTTGTGCTCTTTCCCAGTAATCTGCTATTCTTGCCATCTTTCTTTCTTTGATCATGTCAGCATTTAGGCATGATACCTTGGAGACATCTCTACTTCTTCTCTTATACCATTTCTAACCAAACAGCAAAATCCCATTGGCTTGCCTTCCAAATATTTTCAAGATTTTGCCTCTTCTCAATGCTCCTACTCTGATCCAGGCCATTATAGCCTCTCTCCTGGATTCTGCAGTAGCTCCTGACTGGTCTCCCTCTTTTGGTTCTTGTCTTGTTCAGTCTCTTCTCAATACAACAACTAGAGAGATCCAGTTAAAATGTAAATTAGAGTATGTCCATCCTCAGCTAAAAACTTGCCATGACTCCCACTGGTTCTTAACTGTGTAACTCACTAAACCCTATGTCACCTGGCCCTCCATTCCCTCTTGGGTTTCATCCCCTAAAACTTACCCTTGGTCACTCTGTGTCAGCCACACTGGCTCTCTTTGCCATTCCTCCTACCCTCCAGGCATGCTTTTGCCTCAAGCCCTTTGTACTTGCTGTTTCCTCTGCCTGATTTCTTTCATTTTTAATGACACCTATCCACATGTTTACTTCTTGTTTCCCCACAAATCTTTACTCAGATGCGTCTATCTTGAATCTTTCACTGGTCACCCTCTAAATACTAAAATTTAATCTCCTTCTACTGACTCTTAGTATTCCTTTTCCCTGCTTTTTGTTTTCTCTTCTTAGCTGTTAATCATCATATACTATATGATTTATTTATTTAGCTTATTTTTAGTTTCTTTTAAATACAATTCCATGAAGACAGATTTTTCTTTGTTTTAGTGCTAGAACAATGTCTGGCACGTAGAAGGTGTGAACGTAATTATGTGTTTACTGACCTAATACATAGGTTAAGTTGGAACCATCCTCAACCTAATAAGATTGGGTCGGAGTCAAGGTTGTTTTGAGACTCTTGATATCAGCTTGAAAAGATCCAAATAGTATGTGGAAAACTTCTGGGGCATTGAGGATTTCTTGTTGATGTGGTTTACTCAGGGCTAAGTACAAACCCTGTCATTTTCTGGGTTAGGCCATCAGGGTCAAGTTTATTAAGGCCTTTCTTTGTGAGGATACTTAGCAGCCAGGAAGAATAATGAAGATATGCTCACTAAAGAAAATTCCTTCCCAATCAAGAGGTTGTAAATTCAACAAAGTGACCCTAAAATGAACCTACCACCCTTCAGCAATCAATCAGGATAACTATTATTAAGCAGAATGATTCTTGAGTAATGAATGTAATTGAAAATATTTTCTTGCTGTAGATGTAAATTGTCACAGGTTTGTGAACATTTGTATCAGTTTTGATATGTGGTGGTTGTAGTAGAACTGTGCTCTGAGGTTTACTTAGGCAGTTCCTAGGCTACTGTACCCTTCAGGATAGGAAATGTATATTACTCAATTTCCTCCAATATTGTGCCTGCCAGCGAAAACCTCTTTCTCTCCACTGTAATAGGATTAGATGTTGTATTTGATAGTTGAAATAACACACATATTTTTCTATATAACTGTCTTTGTAGTCCCTAAGCATGGCTGAATTTTTTTATAATAAATTTCTCCAAAATGGGAGAAGCCTGTCAAAAAACTTTAGCATTGAGGGTAATTGATGACAGGTATTTCTTGCTGAAATTTAAGAAGGATAAATATCTGCAAGTGTGTTTTTTAGTTTAGTTGGGCTTCCCCACCCCAATAAATGTTATAAAGCATCTAATATATGTCAGGCATTTAGGTACTCTTTAAAGAGCAGCAAACATTTTCTATTTTTATAAATCTAGTCCTAAAATGTTGTTCATCATTCTCATGGACAGTTCATTTAAGTGGACTGAAGTAGACAGGAATATTTTCATTGATATATCTTTTAACTGGATGTAACTGTGTAACTATTTGCTGTATGAATAGAAGTCTCTCCATTATCTGTGATTAGGAATCCAGAAGCAGTGTGGCTGAGTGGTCTAGTTCAGGGCCTCTTCTAAGGCCACAGTCAGGGTGGCAGCAGGTGCCCCAGTCACCTGAGGGCTCTAGTGGAGATGGATCTACTTCCAACTCACTCGTATGAGTGTTTCCTCCTATACTGTTGGATTGAGGAAATCAGTTCCTTGCTGGCTATTGGCTGCAGGATGCCGTGTATTCCCTGATACATGGACTTTCCATAGGGCAGCTTGCAACATAGCAGCTTGCTTCATTAGGCTAAGCAAGCAAGCGAACAACAGGGTAGAGTGTGTCAGTAAGATGATGTCAGAAGCTTTTATAACTTGATCTTGGAAGTGATACTCCATCGCGTTTGCCATGTTCTGTTTCTTCAATCTGAATCACTAGGTCCAGAACACACTCAGTGGAAGGGGCTTTTGCAAGGGCACGCATATCAGGAGGCAGGGATTGCTGGGAGGCACTTGAGTTGCTGTCTTCCACATAGTTTATGGTTAGTCACCAGCTTGTCTTAATTTCATACATTTATTTTCCTATGGAGTGAATTTGATATCAAAAGGCATAGCTATTTTGGTCACGATAGCAGCAATGCTTTGCTATTATGCTATACGCTGAATTATATTTTATTTTCATGCATACATCTTGTTTTAGACTGAATAATTAATGTCAACTACTATAACATACAATTCAAACTCTCTAAGAATTAACACAGAAAATAGACATTTTTAATATGAGTCAGCCTGCTCTTTTAGGTGGCTTTTTTAAAATGGGTGACAGAGGGATTTAGACACATGTGGGCCTACTATTTTACAGTTCATCCCTTTAGCCACAAATATGTGGGAGGTTTTAAGGTCAGGCCTGTAACTGATGTATATAATTTCTGCACACATTGCGTTGTCCGGAACTAGTGATGTGGTCCAACTTGACTGCAAAGGAAGATGGAAAATTAGTTTTCTATATGTGCCCATGGAGAAAAGAAAGGACAAAAGGATTGAAGAGCAGTTAGTTTTGCCCCACATCTTGTTGAAATATACTGCTTGCCTTAAAAACAGATATATAGGCCAGGCGCGGTGGCTCACGCCTGTAATCCTAGTACTCTGGGAGGCCGAGGCGAGTGGATTGCTCGAGGTCAGGAGTTCGAAACCAGCCTGAGCAAGAGTGAGACCCTGTCTCTACTATAAATAGAAAGAAATTAATTGGCCTACTAACATATATAGAATTATGTATTAGCCAGGCATGGTGGCACATGCCTGTAGTCCCAGCTACTCGGGAGGCTGAGGGAGGATTGCTTGAGCCCAGGAGTTTGAGGTTGCTGTGAGCTGGGCTGATGCCATGGCACTCACTTTAGCCTGGGAAACAAAGCGAGACTCTGTCTCAAAAAAAACCCCAAAAACCAAAAAACAGATATATATGTACACATAGATATACATACGGTACTTAAGTCTTTCCTATTTAAAAATTCCTTTGACTCTATTTTATTTTTTATTGGAAAACTAGCATATATGTCAAAAGCACATAAATCATACTGTGCAGTTTAATATGCAATTATAAAGTGAACAAGTAAACGACTGGGCAGCCACTGCCCAGATCAAGAGTTAGAACATGGCCAGCACCCCAGAAACCCTTTGAATACTCCATCAATCACAATCCCTCACTATCTTGAATTTTATGATAATTGCTTTTTCTTGACTTTACATTTACCTCTAGTGCATCCTTCTTGTCTTCTGTTCTTGGCTAGGGTTTTGGAATTTGCTATCTCCTCTTGCTGTCCTCACATCTTGAACTTCCATTCAGCCCTCAACTCCTTATGCTCTATGTCCTACTCTTCCTGTCACTGAGATCACCAATGACTCCCTAAGTTTTAGATTTAACAAGTATCTTTTAGTTGTTATCTTACTGCACTTATTTGTGGTATTAGACTATGATGGTGACTTTCTTTTTCTCAAACCATTTGACCTGTTACAATGTTCTCTACCTTCCCCCTGCCTTTTATTCTTCTGGCTGATTTTTCTCAGTTTTCTTGCAGGTTTATCTTCTTCTGCCACATCCTATATATTGGTGTTTTTCATGATTCTGTAATATTTTAGCAATCTCATCCACTTTTAATGTTTTAACTCCCACTCATAAACTATACCTGTTAAATCTCTATCTCTAGCTGCATATTCTCCCCTGACCTCCAAGACCCATGTGTTTGTCTTCTCTCAGGCATTTCCACATGAGTAATCCATATGTATCTTAACATGTATCTTAACAAGTCCCATATGGTTTCATTTCAATTAGGGAGGAACAATGATAACAATAGCTAGGATGAATGGGTTCTCTCTAGGTACCAGGTTTTGAGTGCTTTACATGTCTTAACTAATTTTAATGCTCATTTTAACAACCAATAAAATGAGTACTGTTCTCATTCTACAGATGAGGAGACTGAGACGTGATAGTGTTAAGCTTCTTGCCCAAGGTAACAAACAAATATGAGATATGGCTTGATCTAGAGTCTGGCACTCTTGCTTCAACTACGAGTCTTCCTGGTGCCTGTACTACAGCTGCCTCTCAGATCAGGACTTGGGTCTAAGACTCCTGACCGTGAATCCAATGGACTTTACATAATAGTACTTGGCTTATTCAGGCAGGGACAATAATAGTTTGGATTTATGTGAGATTTTAATTCTCCAGAAATCTGAAGACATCTACCAATAGTATGGCAGCTAAATGCTACCCAAGAATGGCTTCAAAAAGCCACTACAAAATAACAATGGCCCCCTCTATTAATGATTAAACTGAACCTACTACATAAATGCCCTGTATTTAGTCATAGAGAATGAGCCATAGGAGAAATTCTGCCTATTAAAGGTATGTCCATGGCCAGAGATGAGCAACCTATTTTAAGAATAACAGATTAAGAAATGGAAATTTAAAAAAAGTATCAAGCTTAGTGGTACAAATGTTAAATACATTTTATAACTACTGACAGACCCTATATTTTTTTAATGAGCAAGTTTTTAAGACCAATAAGATGGAAGAATGAGAACTTTTCACTGGCTCAGCCATGCACATTGGTACTGTTTTATAGGCTCAATGACTAAAACAAACCACATAATGTTCAAAAGAAATTCAGGAGCAACTAAGTAATAATTTCCATGAACAGCTGACTCAGTGACATGTGATATTGAAAAATGGCAGTAACCAGATTCTTTCAGATAATTGTAGCCATGTTTGGATCATGTGATGCCTTTGTTCCTTTCTCTGTGTAACAGTCATTCAGGGAAGAGAGAGGGCTGTAGCCTTGGAATGTGTTTAGACTATGAAAAATTTTACCTTATTAACCCATTATGGCAAATGAAATTGTATCCATTACATTTTTTGCTCAACAGATCAGTGCCATTGGACTTAATTTCACTGGTAGCTCATTCATCAACAGTCTCAGAATTCACTTTAATAGTTCAAATGTTCTTCAAAGTAAATATCTTATTTTCTCTCATTGCTTAGATGATGCTGGGTCAAAAATCCATCTAACTCAGCAGGTAGACATGGCTGCACAGGTTGCCTCTGGAATGGCCTATCTGGAGTCCCAGAACTATATCCACAGAGATCTGGCTGCCAGAAATGTCCTCGTTGGTGAACATAATATCTACAAAGTAGCAGATTTTGGACTTGCAAGAGTTTTTAAGGTGGATTTGGTTTTGTTTTAATTCATTTTTGTAATAAGTCAAAAACTTAACAGACTAGTAGACCAATAGATTTGCTGTTATTCTGTAAAACAATGTTTTTCCAAGTTCTGTGGTCTATAGACCACCTCAGTGGCCCAAGACCTTATGGACAAACTGCCTGTCCATTCCTATTTCTTCACTAAGGGAAAATAAGCAGAGAAAACAATGACTAACCAGATTGAAAAGTATGTAATTAAGTTTGTAGTTGAACGAATGAGTTGTTTCTCAGTATCAGTAGCCTTTCTTTGTTTGCTTCTATTTCCTTTACAAAAAAAAAAGTACACTTTGTACAGTGTTATCCTACCCACCACTGCTCCCTTTATGCCAGAATAATCTGCATGCTGCCACAGTTCTTTGGCAGTCATTGGATTTTCCATTTTTCCTCCCATTTTGTGACTCAGTCCAAAAGACATTGATATAGGAGATATAGGATTAGGTGTTTTTCTCTGAATTTAATTTTAAATTTCCGCATTGTACCTTAAAAATTTGGATGTTGGGACATGAAGCACAATAAATAATGATTATCTTGATCCTCATGAATTCATCATTTTCTCTTTTTGTAAATTAATTAGAATCAAAGTGAGTTGATATATTAATGTAAATCATGTGGATCCTACTTTTCAGGTATTAGCAAGTGGTTACATGGTAATTATCAAAGTCAGTGGCTCTTCAATACCAGCAGTAAATAAAAAAACAGACAGGTTTTGCTTCCATTTTTTAATTCATTCAAGACCAGACGTGAAGTCTGAATCATCATGTATGAATTCTCCCATATGTAGTAGAATGTGCCTTCCAGTACTATTCTTAGCACATATTAAGCCTTCAAATAATATTTTGTTAATGACTTCCCATAGATTTTTAAGTCTTGTATGCCAGATTCAGAATTTGCTACTGTAATTATCAATTGAACTAAGCTCATTTTGTATCTTTTCCCTCTAAATTTTAATGTGAAGCAGGTTATAAATGAATGAGTGCAGTAGCAAAAAAAAAAAAAATCCCTTTAACTTGGCTTGATTCCTTAATGCATTAGCAGGTAGATAATGAAGACATTTATGAATCTAAACACGAAATAAAGCTGCCGGTGAAGTGGACTGCACCTGAAGCCATTCTTGCTAAACAATTCAGCATTAAGTCCGATGTGTGGTCATTTGGAATTCTTCTTTATGAAATCATTACTTATGGCAAAATGCCTTATAGTGGTGAGTAATTAATTCTAAAGTGGGCCTTTTTGCTGCAGGTCACTTACTTAGGTGTGACTTTAACTGCTTTGCCCAGACTTAGAGGGCAGAGTTATGAGGCTGACCACACCATGTACCCATGGGAGCTTGATAGATAAAATTTGATGGTGATAATTTGCATTAATGAGGTGGTTTATTGCTTCTCTCTTCTTTGCTATTGAATTGCAGTCTTATAGACATTACTTGCCATAGGATTTAGTTTTATCTCCGCAACCTGGAAAGGGGATAGTAGACCTCATAGCTTTGCCAAGGAAATTGATTTGCTTTGTAACCTAGAGTGTAAGTGTCTTTGAATTTAAGACTCTGGTCTTTAATTTTTTGTTGTTGTTGTATTTATTCTATATTTTTTAGGTATGACAGGTGCTCAGGTGCTCCAGCTGTTGGGTCAAAACTATAGACTCCCGCAACCATCTAACTGTCCACAGCAATTCTACAACATCATGTTGGAGTGCTGGAAAGCAGAGCCTGAGGAACGACCAACATTTGAGATACTGCAATGGAAACTTGAGGACTATTTTGAAACAGACTATTCATAATCAGATGCAAATAACTTCATAAGATGAACACAAAGGAAAAATATTAAATAATGAAGTAGCAAAAAAAATTGAATAATCAGTCCAGAAACACAATCTTATTGATCAACTATGAAATCAGTTTATCTTGACATATGAAAGTGATAGGGTAAATTTGGCCAGGTGTTATAAAAATGATCTGTGCATTTTATTGACTGGGAAACACTATAGGACAGTCTAAGATGATATATCATTTTCTCACTGCCTGGTAAAATTAAGCACACTAAACAAAGTTATTTTTCTTTTTAAGAGATGCTCACATTTCTATTTATTGTTTGAAATGCCGATCAAGAGAATCAACAGATGATAGTCAGTTTTTACTCAGTGACTGTTGTAGCATTTTCCTGTTTACTGATTACAGTGGTTATTCATTATTCCTCGGATTGCTGAATCCCATCAGGCTATTATTATGAAGGAATTTGATTGCTTTGGTGCACAGCAGGACCTGTGCTTTGAGATTTCTTTTCTCTTTTAAAATATCCTGTAACTACAATGATGGCAAAGCCATGTTAAATGACTTGATTGTACTTGGAGTAATTGCACATATTTTTTTCCTATGCATAAAAAAATGAAACAGCTGTTGAGAAAACGAATTAAAATCTTTCTCATTTTGTAGAAGGAAATGATGGAATTTTTTCTATACCTCAGTATGTGTCATCTGAGAATCATCTACATTAGTGTTAATCCCTTAATGTTGAGAATCAGGTTGCAAAGCTGATGAGTTATCACCTATGGAAATATGTGGAAAACATCTAATAGCCTACAAAGCCTGATAAATAGGTATCAAATAGTTTAGAAAAATGAGAGGAGGGCAATAGAATTGCTATGGCCTAGGGCTTCTGAACAATTAAAAAAAAAAAGTACCTTTTGACATATAGGCCAGAGTTTTAAATGAACCATAAAAACGGTCAAGCTCTATTTCAGAACTTTCAGAACTAGAGGCTAGGAATAATGTCTGAACTTGGTTATGAAACTATATTTTTTGTCTGGTAGGGTAGAGGTTTTTACTCATCTTAAATTTGCATTAACCTTTGTAACAACATTACTATCTTCTGAAGCAATGGGTGTATAAAATTCTCTGCCTCATTAGATGACTAGGGGGACTTCTCCAAGGTGGTTTCAAAATCAAATATATATTCAAAGATCTTCTGATATAAAGCATTCTGAATGAAAGCCATGAGAAAACAGGATATTTTGAATATATTCTTTTATCTGTCTTTAAAAGAGAAGAACCTATCTAAATAGTTACAGAAACCCAAACTCAAAGTGGATTAAGTAACAAATAAATCTGCAAACTCTTTTAACTGGGAGGTAGGGAGGGCTCCAGGCACAATACCATCAGCAGTTCAATGATGTCAATAAAGGCCCAAGTCCTTTCCAACTTTGGCCTCTGCCATCAGCATTGCCCTCATTTCCAGGGTAACAGATGGCTGTCATTTGCAAAACTGGGGCTCCTTGTTCTAGCAGGAGAAAATGGGAAACCTCTTTCCCAAACTTGGATAAAAATTATTTTTATTTTCATGTTCAGGCAAACTTGGGTCATCATATGCCAGCCCTGGACCAATAATAGACTTAATGTGAATGCTATGTGCTAATTGGCTTAGAATAAGTTCTGAGACTGAAGCTGAGACTATGATTACCTTCCTCAGAAACAGGTTAAGAGGCTGGCTTTTCTGAATAAAATTAGAGAATATTAGATGCTGCATAGGTGTCCAGTGAGGAGAAAAATCCTTTGAGATGAATTAACTGTTAGATTTTATCAATCTATGTACCTGTTTATTCATCTATTTGATATTTATCAGTCTATCCATCCATCCATCCGTCATCATCATCTCAATCACCTCTTCTCTCTCTCTTGCTTTTTCTTTCTCTGTCTCTCTATATATGTTTATATATATATATAAACATATATATATATAAACATATATATATATATATAAACATATATATATATATACACACACACACACACACACATATATGTATATGTGGCAGGTAGGTGTGTGCATGTACACTTTTCTGAATACCTTGCACTAAAATAGGTCATGTAGAGCTAAAGATTATGAAACCACTCGATTCCTTTATTAGCAGAAAATATTTGTAAGATAAGATCAACACTGAACTTCTTAATCAGTTGACTGTGAATAATACAACTTTAATTATTTATTTAAAGTCATCTAGTCTAATGTAAGCAAGGAGCAAATTATAAATAACCAATTAGTAAAAATTAAAAGAAAATAGTTTATTTTTTAAAGTTCATTTCTTTGTGTTCAATTCTGCTTGGGCATATATAGGAATGAATGGAAATTTTCCCATTTCCATTGTGCATATTCAACTACTATATAATTTGTCTCTTTGTAGTAGCTAATAACAATAAATTTTTTAGTAAGATCAGATTTTAAAATATAAAAGGAAGGTTATCCTTTCCTGTTTTAATGCTACATGAAACCCGTTTAACTTACTGTGTTTGATTCTTAGGGACATTTATGTTCAAGGTTCTGTCAAAGCAATCCATTATTCTTGTTTTTACCTGATGGATCATGGAGAAAAATAATGGATTCGGTTATGAGAAGCAGTAATAGATTTTTTTTAAGCTGACATAAATTTCTCTCCCTGTGTAAAATAAAAGGATCAGGAGAAGATAAGTTGAATTTTCCTACATTGAGCCAGCTCTTGTTAAATTTACCTCCCATAAATTGTAGCAAAGCACTTTTTATGTAATGTTTTATTTATGTAATTCAGTTATTTGGAGATGGTGGTGAGGGATGTGAGTACATCATTTCATGTTGTATTTCAAATCTCTTTTGACAAAAACCATAAGAATTTTTGCAATAGAAAAAATTCAAAGTTCCATTAAGACTCCTTTAAGAAGGTAAGAAAGGAAATAGGTTTAAATTACATAAGGTCAAAAGAGGCACTGGGTGGATGCCTAAGTTGTGGAACCTGAATATTTTACCTTCAAAAACAAAGTAAAAGTCAAGTGACCAGCAATCTGCAAACTGGGCTGTGAGAATGGGTATACGTAGAAGACAAAAAAGAACAAGCCTGTGGGGAAATATCAGGCTGGGGTCACTCTCAACTTCTGCTCTCAGTGTGCATCTGCGTGCATCTGCATGGGTCAAGTGAACCATGAGGACCCGGACTCTTCTGACTCTCTGGTGGCCTAAAGGGAACCATTGCCCTTGGAAGAATGCCAAACCACCACCCAGCAGGAGCTTCCTGGAGGAAGTGGGGCCCAGCTGGTGTTCCACGGCTTGTCAAGCATATGCCATACCTGCAATCACGTTTTTCATGGTCTAGTTGAGCATATGATTTCTGGACCAAACAGCCTTCCTTGCAGTGTGTCAGTGGTAACTTATTAGGACCCTTTTCAAAGACACATTATGTGAACTAGAGTGGCGATGATTTGAGTACCTTATTCAGATTGCATCATTGTGTTCTCTCATTGAGAAAGGCCACTCTTAAAAAAAAAAGTAAATGAGATTCATACACATAAGTATTGGAATTGTCAATGGGCTGACATGCCAATATTTGATTCTTGTATTTCCTGGCATTATTATGGAGAAGGCTTGGTTTATAATCTTCAACATGATGACAAAAGTTCAGTGTCATAGGATCGAAAAAAAATCTGGCAAATTTGGTAGAGAATACCTAAAAATCTTTTAAATCCATGATCTCAGCAATATTTTTTAATTTGCACAGTGGCACCCCTTTACTGCCTACATTGCCCCATTAAATTCTTTCAGATTTATCTCATTATTTATTAACAAAATGACATTAGTACATCTTTCATATTTATTACATTATAATCTTTCTTATTTATTACATTTAAAAGTAAACTGGAGAATAAAAATAGTATGTAAATCTTGAATCTCAGAGACTTTAGCAAGTTTAACATCAATCTGTATTCAGATGACACTATCTACATAGGGGCTATAAGATTAGGTTATAAGCAAAGAGATGCCCAATTATTTCTATTTACTCTTCTTGCCTGGGCAGTTAATTTATCTATTAGCCATCTGAAACAACAGACTTCAGTGTAATGTCCTTTTCATTCTCATGGAAAACAATCAGCTCTTCCAGAAAAGACTAACCAATATCAAACACACCTCAAGTGTCCATGTGGGTATATTACCTTGCAGGGGATTCAAGTAACCATGAAATCATGGATTAGGGAAAAATCGTTAAAAGCAACTAAAACTGCTCATTTGGAAGATGTTAAATATTGCCTTGTATTAATTTCCTGAGATTTTTGAATAGAGGCTTTGATTGTTCTATCTGTGAAAGATAAATCTGCTTGGTATTAACCAAATTATAGTTAATTATTATGGTATACAAAATTTCAGGGTCAAAAATCTATCATAGCTTTTAATAAATTTTCAAAATTTATTTTTAATTATAGATTTAGAAAGTGATAAATAAAACCCATTAGCCAAATTAGTCTACTTTAAATCTACCACAGTGATATTTTTATCTCTTAAAAACATGCATATTTCTATATTCTACCCTTTAATATTTATATTATACAATTGCATGTGAATGTATTACTGTATTATACATGATTATATATGTAGCAAAAGAATTAAAAATATTTCTTTATTTTATTTCATTATTATTATTTTATAGACAGGATTTCACTCTGTAGACCAGACTACAGTGCAATGGTATGATCATAACTCATTGTAACCTTGAACTTCTGGGTTTGAGGAATCCTCCTGCCTCAGTCTTCCAGGTAGCTAGAACTACAGGGGTGCACCACCATGCCCAGCTAAATTTTTTACTTTTTGCAGAAACATGGTCTTGCTATGCTGCCCAGGCTTGTCTCAAACTCCTGGCCTCAAGCCATCTCCCTGCCTCAGCCTCCCAAAGTGCTGGGATTATAGGTGTGAGCCACCACACTTGGCAAAAAAAAAAGATCTCTTTAATTGTACAACTTGTTATAGTGCTGTTCTTCACCTTGATTCACATGCAACTATTTAAAAGGTTTAAAAATTTCTATTTTTGAATTCTGTAAAATTTTAAAGCAAAGATTTTTCTTGACAACATAGTTTATCCCAAGTGTTTTATCTTCATTCACACAGTATTTATTATGGTCATTATATCAAACTGGTTATTTTTAACTTGACCTTTAAAAGCTGACCTGACTGTATCAGAAATCAAATTGGTTGTGGGTCTACAACGTAAATTTAACTTATTTCATAGAAAGTGAAATGTCTCCTCAGTTGATTATGTTAAAAGAATTTGCATTTGCATAATGAGGAAAGTAAGTCTGTGTCACTTTTCTCAGAGCTCCAGGCTGATGGAGAAACCTCAAGCTCTTACGTTGCTGGTTGCTGCGGCAGTGGGAACGAGAGCGCCAGTGGATCTCATGTTGGCAGTTACATCCTTGGGCCCAGAAGATATACATCACTTTTCCTCACACTCTTTGGCCACAATCATTCGGCTTCACCCAGACACTGGGGGTGCTAATTATATAATCCTACCATGGACCCAGACATAGAGCTCCAGAAATACTCAGTAAACAGCACTATAGACTGGCACGCTACATTAAACATCAAGTAAATTTTAGGTGATGCTGAGTGATAGAAGGCCATCTATACTCATTTATCCATTCCTTTTTCATTAATTACTGTATTCATTCTTTCAACAAATATTTATTGATTGCCTACTGAATAGCAGACATTGGGCTAGGAGTTTGGATGAACTTGTGAACAACAGAGGAATGGACCCTGTTTTCTTTAAGCTTACTCTATTAGAGGAGACAGAACGGGGCGTATGAATCTCAGCTCACAAACCTAAATGTGCAATTTTACCTTGTTTTTCCCCTAGGAAATTGTTGTCTGTAAGCTGCTATCCAATATCCAGTCTCCCTTTTCTCCTTAATAGCAGAAACAGCTATAGGATCACATTGTCCTGCCTTTGTTGCAGCTAGAGGTTGCCAAAGAGATGTAAGGGACAGTTGTTGGCAGGGTGTCTAGGAAGGTTTCATAAGAGGTGACAGAGAGCTGGCACAAGCCCTTCTTTGTCTCTTTCTCCTTTGTGATGTTTTAGGCCTCAAATTCTGCATCCATCTTAGGCCATGAATTAAACTTAGAGATCGGGGTTACTTCTAAGTAGAGCCTAGGTCCTTGATGAAAGGGAAGCTGCCATGCCATCCTTGACTGCTGACCTCAGAAATTCCGGTATACGAAGGCAGAAATGCTATGCTGTTTGAGCAACTCTTATGCCCAGTCTCTATTTCTAGAGATTAGAATACCCAACTTCTGAATGGCATATTGTCCATTTAAAACCATCATTCCACCAGGTATTGGAAAACAAATCTCAGTTATTTCTAGGATGCTTCCTAAGTGCTGGGTGCTTATAGCATGTTAAGGCTTTGGGGCAGGAGGAATTGTCTGGTGCTGACATTGGGTCATTACTTGCCCACGTGGCCATCTGCAGAGATATCTTCTCTCCCACTTGAAATGATCTTGGTCTCAGCTCAGCATGATATAGTTGAAGAACCAAAGCAAATCCAGTTTGACAGGAGTATGGGAGTAATAGGGACATGACACAATTTAGCGCTAGCCAGGCATGTCCTATCCCAATCATGGAAGGCTGTATAGCTCAGGTTAATAATCATAATCTTAATCCTGCTGGGAAGACACCAAAAACTTTGAAATCAGTAACATGACCTAATTTGAATTTTCAAAATATCAATTTCGTGAACGTATTGCTTAGATGAGGACGAGAATAGAAACAGAGAGATAATTTAGGAAAGTGGATGGTCTGGGTGACAGATAATAATGGAGCAGATCAGTAGATGGCAGAAGATATAGAAAACAATGAATACACATGCGACATTTAGAGGTGGAACTAGCAGAACTT